ATACGAAGTAAAAAAGGCGCGAACGCCCTACACTCAAAATGATCGTTTTTCCATTATAACTTTTTAACGTAATTTAACGAAGGCTTCTAATTATTATCCAAGATAGTCTAAATACCGATTAAAATATTTCTTACTTCAAACAGATACGCCGTCTTTTATTCAATTTTTTAAAAAATAATAAAAAATAACTCTTGTCAATGTTAGGGAGCAGTCAATGTTAGGGAGCAAAATGATTTTATCAGAATATTAAAAATGTAGCAAATGGCCATTTAAAATATGTATGGCATTTATAAACTAAACAATATTGTTTGAATGATTATTTTAAACCCCTTGCCTTAACAAAATTTAACAAAATCGATAAAAAATTGTTTTGCATTTTTGTTATCTTCAGAAAATGGACTCTCAAAGATTTTTGACGAAGGAAAGTTAATTATTATCATGGATAATCTCAGTACATATTGAAATATTTCTTACTTCATGATCTAGTAGCATGAAATGTAATGTTTTGTTATTTTAAAAATTATGTCTCCCCTGAACTGTAAATTTCAAAAATATTCTCAATAATTCCATGATAATTCATTCATATAATTACTGTAGTACATTGGAAAGTGAAATAAGTAGCTTGCACGGTGGATATGGATGACGCAGTCCAGCCACGTACTGTATGTGTAATCCCAGGTTAATATATAGGGTGTCCCCAAGTCTGCAAGTGAGCCGCTTTTTGACAATTAAATTCATTCAAAACTTAAATAAAGTAGCCTTAAGCCCAGTATACACCAATGGGGCAAAATCCCACTTGCCCATCGAGTCCGATCTTGCCCTATCGAATCCGAACTTGCCCCAATGAGTCCAACGGAGTCCCATGGTTGATGACTTTGCCCCATCAAGTCCCAACGTGCCCCATCGAGCCCCATGGAGTCCCATCAAATCCCACCTTGCCCCATTGGTGTATGTTGGGCTTCACATAACATGTGACCTGATCGGAAATCCCACGATGCCCCATGGAAAGAATGAACATGTTCATTCTCGATGGGGCAAGATGGGACTCCGTGGGATTTTGCCCCATCCTGCCCCATCGAATCCCATCGAGTCCAACGTGGGACCTCATGGGACTCGATGGGGCAAGATTATATGCAAGTTGGGGCAAAATCCGACGGAGTCCCATTGATTCCCACGGACTTCATGGGGCAAAATCCCAAAAGGTCCCACTAGGTCCCACGCCATGTTAAGTCTATGGAGGTCCCAACTTGTCCCATTGGTGTATACCGGGCTTTAGAGTATCATTAGCAAGTGGTACACATATAACAGAGATCGGTTATATACTGCATTGTCTGAGTATTGACAAATTGAAGTATACGTGTAAAAATCTACTATCATACATGTAACTGCGCAATGAGCCCTTCATAGCGTTTGTGCCAGCTATCAGGTGATACCCGGTCGTAAAGATAAGTGCGAGACTAACTCTCTTACTTTAATACTAGGAAAATATCAAATCATAGAGCTGAAGTATGTCGGAGATTTCTCAAGCCTATATATCAGTTCAGATAATTTATCATCCACAATTTAGGATTGTGAACTGATGACATCATCAAAAAGTGTATATAACGATACATCCATTCATTTACAGTTAGAGGTCAACGAATAAAGAAGGAATGGTTCGCATCTAAATATTTCTAAAACGAACGTAAACAGGATTTAGCTGAAAATAAAAAATGCAAAATAACCTTTTCAATGATTTTCTTACAATTTTAACGCTTTCCTCCCCAAAGGGTATCAAATAATCATACAAACAAAATTGTTCAGTTTATAAATGCCATACATATTTTAAATGGCCATTTGCTACATTTTTAATATTCTGATAAAATCATTTTGCTCCCTAACTTGACTGCTCCCTAACATTGACAAGAGTTATTTTTTATTATTTTTTAAAAAATTGAATAAAAGACGGCGTATCTGTTTGAAGTAAGAAATATTTTAATCGGTATTTAGACTATCTTGGATAATAATTAGAAGCCTTCGTTAAATTACGTTAAAAAGTTATAATGGAAAAACGATCATTTTGAGTGTAGGGCGTTCGCGCCTTTTTTAGTAACTTCGTATTAGATTATAAAAGACTTCCGCCGAATTTCGTACAGAAGCGTGATTGACATTGTCATTGCATGTGCAAGTACATTTTCTCTGCGAATGAGCAGTTTTTCAGTAAAAAAATATTTTGTGTGAAAATATTGAAATTTATTGTAAAAACGACCTGCTCCCTAACATTGACCAAATCAGGCGATGACATCCCGTGGGTACCTCGCTGGTATTTGTGTTATCAGAAAATTATAATCTTCCTGAGAAATGGCGGCCATTTTGAATTCAGCAAGGTCACATTGACTTGACAGTGGGAATATCATATACCATTGACTAATGACTATTAGCATCGGAATATCATCCGGTTTGTCACCATGGGGATAGTATTGCTAGAATCCATTTTCAATAGTAAGAATATGGGTCCTTAAAAAGGACATTGGGACTTGCTTTTTAGAACTTTTTGTTGGCTCTAATTAGCCTGACAAACCTCTTGCGGGTATTGTATTGTATTTTGTTTACCACCAATGATGAAGGTCACCAATACCTCTTGGGTAAATCCCGTATATGTAAGGTCGAAATTTATGTAGGTTATCCCGAAAGACCGACCCAGAAAACTCTTCCTTGAAAAAGTCTAATGTTCTTTTATGTGCACTCATACATAGGCACAAAAAGGACACAACACAACCTTTTTACGAACGGCCGTATTGAAAATTTGTTCTGAATCAGAGGTCCTACACCCATTAGGCATAAGCCTATATAATTTGAACCAGATTCGTCAAGCGATATTTGAATTATTGCCCGGACACATGAACGAATTGATAGACGGCTTCTCTATACCTACCAAGCTTCGTTCGGTAGGATAACCAGTGCTGTACATATTAGTGTATACAGGTTATTAAAAAAGCGAGCACAACTGTAGCGTGAAACTTATAAATAGTCAGGTAGACCGAAATTGAACAGCCGGGCTACTAGTCTATACATGAAGTTAAATTACAAGGTAAGTTACTAGAAGAGTAGTAAAAAAATGACTTGAGAGGGCTACATGTATTAAGGTGCCGTGGTAGTTAACAGGAGATGACAAAACAGGAAGTGGCAAAGGCCATGCTGGATTTCAAACGTTTTTTGATGCACTTTTTTATGCACTTTATCCAAAACATTCTTGTCGCATTCTTTTCTAGGCATATAAGTGCACTCTTCGTGCAAATCTGGAAGATGTAGGCCGTGTTGGGAAGGAGTGATTCTTGCTCAATTGAGGAATGCAGAAAATTCCCCATCATGCACCCTGACCTTCAACCCCGGGCCTTCAACTAGTTCCACATATTATTTACACGACCAGGATCACTGTGGCTATGGTCAGAATGACCCTAAACATGATGAAATAACTTTTTCAGCCCTCTGAAAATGTGACTGGAAATACATAAAAGTAGGATCTTTGAATTTTACAGAAAATGTGCCTAATTCTAAATGATGCAATCTTTGAAAATTTGATATCATTCGTCGAAAAAGAAAAAATGAAAAAAACGAATTGAAAAGCGATCTATTTTCCTTTTTATGATCGCCATTTTTGTTTCAGACAATTTTCTAAAATTTTAAAGATTGTATTATATAGAGTAATATATTGAGCACATTTTCAGAAAAATTCAAAAGATTCTGTTCAGGGACCTTTCATTTGCTCCTACTTTTAGCTATTTTTCAGTGACCTTTTCAGAGGGCTGAAAGGTTATTTCATCATGTTTAGGGTCATTCTGACCATAGCCATTTTTAAGTCACTACACATAAGATGCATCAAGAAGCTTTCGAATGAAATAACATGTGCCTAATGGCTATGTCCTACGTTTTACCAAGTACACATATAATCATTCCATACTTTACACAATTGCGTGCTGGGCAGTGAGTGCATAAATACTATTATACCGTACCATGGTCAGAGCTACATCGGGTATATAATAACAAGTGATAAATAACATATTTGGGCCAGGGATGATATCAGGGATGATATCCATATTAAAATAAATTAAAAAAAACTCCGAATGTAGTATACGGTATAACGCGCGGTAACGGTAAGGTACAATACAAGGAATGTGAATTGGCGTTATACCTTATCTCAGGCAAATCTACCCGCGCGTTGTAGCGTATACTGCATTCGGAGTTTGTGTAGCTAACTATGAAATTCACTGTCAAGACCACTGTCTAGGATATCTTTACAGACATTCACGTATAAAAATATCTAGAAATTAGACCAGATCTTGTGTGTAATATCAAACAAGAAATATGGAGTATCAAACATCGCATTGAAAAAAATCTAACAAATTTTAGAATTGAAAAGTCAAACAATAAAAATTAAATATCCACATCAAATTGAAAAAATGGAATAAAGACGCTAAAAATGCCATACTATTATACTCCTGTCTTCAGGGCGTCCACAAAAAAGTATACCGAACTTCAAAGCCAGGATACTAAACTTCTTGGCAATCTTTTGCAACTGCTCTGTCACAGCGGACAAAAAGATTGAGCATTATTTTTTATAAAAAAAATTAAAAAGACCCATTACATCATTCAATATCTCATTAATACCTTCAGAGTCATGCTGAAAACATTTGCACAAAACATTTGTACATTTGTAAATATAGCCTTGTCACTAATCTATATCGTCATCGTGCCATTAAAACGTTTGAAAAGAAATGATACATTTTGGAGTTACTTATACCAAAGAAAATTACTTACTCCATGCAATGGATAAATCGTTTGCGGGTAACTTTCACTTCTGTTTGAAGCCCTTTGGTAACATATGAGTTAAAAATAAATTGTGTGGTTTTCTTAGTGCTTTTATGAAAAATAACATGCTCCGTCATAGCGGACAAATCTTTCGATACCCGCCTGTGAGAAAGTGTACTGAGATATTTATTTTGCATTTTTATGACTTTCGCAGCACGCTCATATTTTCGTCACACTGTACTGGACATTCACGCATCCATCTGCAACAGTCGGTTACAGTACACAGTATTTACAGGCGAGCAGGAGAAAACAGCTGGAGTGTGAAACTTGATTACTAAGTCAGGCTTTTTGAATTACATTACAAGGTAAGTAACGTCTTGCCTGCATGCAAGGAGTCAGTAACTTCAGAAAATAAAGTATGAACATATGGAGCTTAAATTATGAAGCTATTTCCGATTTGTTTTTACTCAAATTAGAATAATAGATAAAAGATATGAGACATATTAAAAAACAGTTTGAGGGAGATACAATACGGCTTTTATTCAATTTGATGATTATTAACACCAGGTAAAATTATATGTGATATTTACAGCATACGGTAAATACATTGCTCAAAATCAAAATTAAGGTACTGGTGGAAAAAAACATTTTTGAAAAATTGCTATACCTGCACATGTTATTTTCTAGTACAAAATAAAGTATGAAGGCATCAGTGTATTTCCCTGCTTTTATCAGGAATGCATCATGTCTTCTCTTAGTAAACCTGGTAAGAGGCCAGCGGTAACTCCAGAAAATGCTGATATCTTAGGAAAATGGCTGCATTTTCAATTTTCTAAATTTCTTCTCCAAGTTGCTAAACAACACTCTGGATTGCCATTGACCTCTTACCAGATGTGCTAAAAGAAGACAGTGTAAGGATACTTTCCTAAAAAGGTAGGAAAAACACACATGCCTTCAGACATTATTTTGTATCAGAAAATAACATGTGCAGGTATCGAATTGTCTTTCCAGATGCGGGTCCAAACGTGGAAATTGACTGTTACTGTTGTGGTTGTCCTTGTTACATTTGTTTTACTGACAGTAACCATGAGAGACAATCGTCCTGACAATTTGGCAGTTCCTACATCTATGCAACAAGCTCCAGCAGATTCGCAGAATCTGAAGTCAATAAGAGATATTTATTTGAAAACTTTGAAGGTGACGTTGACAGGATATGCTTTTAAATCAAAAGCCATTAAAATGGGAGTAGGCGAGGTTGAAATCATTGACGAAGCAATGAATAATGACGAACGAAGGCGAGGTGGTGATTGGCCGAGCGTTGGGTAAGCATAAAACCTTCTTTCATATAATTAAATAAAGGTATGTGTGGTGTTTTGATAAATTGCCCCAGTGTGTAACTTGCCCGACAGCTTGTTAATTCAAATTGGGACAGCATCTTTTCCATTCAATCGAGGTTGGGCCATGCAGCCGAAGGTAAGCCATACAACCGAATTTTGCCGATTCAATCTGACGAAGAATGCCGAGCATCCTTTTTGACCAATCAGAGACGTCCTCTTCACATTCGTGGTACCCTCGGCCAACTTCGTTTGCAAAGAAAATATTCGGCAATCTCCGGCTTTTCTTGAGGTATCTTCGGTTGTAGGCCAAAAGTCAATTCAAATTATGGAGGTAGCTTAGGTGTGGCCCAAATGCCCTAATACGTCACTTCCGCTGAATAGAAAAAAGTAGTTTTCAAAAGTGAATGTAGTCCCAACACAATTGTGATCGTGACGAGTCAGTAAGCTAGTATGTAGGCACAGTTGTCATCTTTTTGCAATGACAACATGCCATTTCTTCTGAAAATGCGTTTATTTGGGTTATCTGAAGGAAAATTTCGAATCAAGTGGCGTATTAATTTTGCCTTCATTTTTATGAATTTCAATTACTGTCGGCAGAGAGAGGGCACGGTGTTATAGCATGACAGATACGCCACCTCTGAAAACGAGGTTAGTCGTATACGATCACTGATTTATCCAATAAAATGGCCACGATGAAACAGAAAGCTAAGGTAGGTGCATTATGTTCTACTACTGCGTATCAATAAAAGCATGAAAGATTTATGTAAGCGTCGCATTCGGTGATGCATTCAGTAATGTTTATTTTGAACATAGTCTTTGCAAATCGACGCCCATGGATAACATGAAATAAGCGAAAAACTGTCGAGTTTGAAATTCAAAACTTCATAAAATTTAGTAATTTGTTTCTTTTCTTCGTTAGGACATGCTCTACATTGCGCAACAACCTTGGTGTATATAAATGTAACCTACATACGATCATACAAAGCCAATTAAGCATTGTAAACCACTTAATATGTTCTACTCAAGCCATAATAATGTATTTTGAATTTGCGGATACGCCAAAAATTGATAGACAGTTACGCGAACCTCGTTCATATATGTAAAACCGAATCATTTCATATCGCTTGTGATCCAAAATTGAAATGTTTTTCAACCGGATTTGAGTTTTGTAAGCTATAATAACGGTGGTAATAATGGTAATAACGTCATTTCTGCGGGCAAAATAGTGAAATATTGGACCTTGGGCCCGCGGCCCTTGGTCCAATATTTCATATTGCCCGCAGAAATGACGTTATTGTACTATTATGAAGATGGTGACATAAACAGCTGAATATGATTTGTAATAATGGTAATATATGTCTAATGTCACTTATGACATCATCAATTAATTTGGAGTTGTTTTCTTCCGTCGCCTGTTCGTTGTTACTAATTTCTTCCTTTGCCTCTTCATTACAATCATTTTCACTTTCATTGGCTTTCGCTATTTTTTTCTTGCCCTATAGAGGCTCAAGCAAGAGCGTCTCTTGCGAGTCCTGAAAACTTGCATGTAACCGTCCGCTAACATCTAATGTAAAACTAATACAATGCGTTGCTGTCCATAAAAAAGCATGCAATACATACGTATCTGTCTAACGACCTTGCGATTGAAACCTTATTATCTACAATATTTACCACATTTCTGTTCTGCATTTGTCATTTTATGGCTTGTTTATGCACAGTTTACGTACAGTTAGTATTTTGAGTGGCTCTGAGGCATATATACTGAGAAAACACGAAAAAGGACTAAAAATTATGAACTTCGAAATCTCAGCTGGGTAGGTTTACAGCTTATATTCTGCTTCTTGTAGACCACACGACAGATTTAACTCAATCTTTAAAACCATTCACATATGCATCACCGAATGGAACTAGTTGAAAAGGAAAGCTTATCTGTGAATCTTGCCTACAGGCGAAAAAGAGGACATGCTGTCTTTCCCGTCCGCCATTTTTTGTTATCGTTACCGCAAAATTTGGCCAATTGCCTTGTCGTATCTGTCATGCTATAACACCGTGGAGGGGGTAGTGTCACAATTGACCAATTATTTCAAAAAGTAGATGATTGGCCCCTATTGAGTTTAGTGTCAAAATGTAGCTTAGACATAGGTTTAGAACCTCAGATAGGCCAGTGAGGCCACGTAAATCCATAACTCGAGATAAAAAGTCAGGCGTTTGCCCTTTTGCCCATTGACTAGTATGGTGACATGAATTAGGGCAGTTTGGCCTGTACTTCACACTTGAGATGATACACACTACCCTACCACGTGACAATTTAAGGGATACAGGCCACAATGAAGTTGTAAATGGAGGACTTGGTTTTATTGAAAACTAGTATTTACATATATTCCTAGTATACTACTATACACTAAATAGATCCATCGAGCAGTTTGCAAAATATAATTACCAGAAAACCCCAGTTTATATTGCGTGTCATTGTGTCATATATAGATACGTATTTGGAAGATTATTCTAAAATTTTAAGATGAATATAAAGTGCCAGAAATATCTTTTGGATGCCGTAAGGTGGAACATATTCTAAAACATATTTCCTCTTGTCACAAAGAGGAGAATGTTCGTTTTGCAGTGTCTAATGAAGAGAATATCATGGTTGAACGCAACATATCTGCAGCAGTTATGTTGTAACTCAAAATTCAAACATTGTACATTTTCTTTGATTCAAAATTACCGCCGATCTCACATATACAGGGTGGTCCAAAAAAAATGGAACATTTGTTAATTGAACGCAACACCTTTATTTTTCTTCTAAAATGCACCAAACTTTTACTGAGCATAGTTCAATCACTTATTTATCTGATTAGCGGGATAAATAGTGTAAAGTAATCGCCGTTTGCGGAACAAATCGTGAAACTTTCCTCAAAAGATCACTGATTGCTACTCTTAAAATAAAGCAACTGTGCCAAAAAATCGCCCCATAGGAACTACCCTAATTTTACAATTCACGGAGGGGGGGGGGGGCTAAAAAAATTTTGACACAATTTTTTTTACTAAATTATGCTCATACTTCAAATTTAATATTTATTTTAATAACTTATCATGTTAAAAAGTTGATGTTGAAGTAAAAATATGAAATACCATATTGATTTTCGATTGCTATGTTAAAGGGTGGTGATGGGCGACGCCCACTTTTCTTGTATTGAATATTTTGCACCATATCACAGTAGCAGGAGTAAATCAAATAAGTGATATATGATTTTAAAATTACATCTATATCTAATGCTTCACATGACTATTATTTTTCACCTTTTTCACTGTTAAAGGCTTGTTTTGAGTCACACCCATCTTTTAGATATACAGAAAAAATGGTCGATACGGCTTGACTTGTGGTTTCTTTTGGCTTCTGAGTGCAGTTAGACTCCATATATCAACTATCTATATCTGTTTCATAGTTCCTTTAGTTTCACTTTGCACACATTTTTAAATCATAGTTTTATTAATCTTATCAATAGAAGGATTTATACTAGTGTCTATCAGTATCATAGTTACTTTTTGGTATGTTGCAGTGTCCTTATGAAGAACAATTGCCATCACACACACATAATGCTGTACAAACAAGATTTCCTTTCAGGCTCTTGCATCGTGTTGATATGCATTGGTTTTTGCAGCTACACTTTATGAGAGCCTGGCAAGCGTCTGATGCTTGGGGTAAGGTTGTCCACCTTGGTATCCATTTGGTGTCTTCAAATATCCAGCCCCACTCAGCTGGGGAAGGAACTTGAGGATTCACTGTAAGTGGTTGCCCCCAAATAAATACAGCTTGGTATATGACTCTCTTTATATGCTGTAAAAGGGCATCTGATGTTGGACGAATGTGTGATATTATTGAAGTCCTCTTTGTGAACATCTGCTTCCTTGCAGCATTGATTGATGTTTCATTGCTTGTTTTAAGTTGGAGACCAGAATAATGAACTGCTCTAAAATAGGCATCAAGCAGGGTATTGGGTCATATTGAGATTTCTGTTAATACTGTAGTCAATTCAGGGTAGGTACTCCGTTGGTTCCAGGCTGATGTCTTAGACTTTCCATTAAAGCCTGATGTGGTGTCACACCCAGTCATAGCATGGAATATTGGGAAACACATGGCTTTCTGAGGAGTCATTTCATGGGCAATTTTGTGGGCGGGAAGGTATCTATAGGACTTTCCCTTGCCAAAGGTGAGCCAGATTTGAATGTTAAGTTGTACTAACTGTCAGAACAACAATGTCTGAATCAACTGTTCTGATCGTCATTTTTGTGAAGCCTTTTTTCATTGCATCATATATGTGCAGAAAGATTCGGGAATCTGCCTCTTCATGGGATGATGTGAAATCTCAGAGACATGCTGCTTAGGATATGCCTCTGCAGAATTCCCAATAGTTGTAATCAGGATTTTATTCTCTGGTACTGGAATGGCTGAGACATTTGATGCAAGGAAGGTAAAGAGATCACTTTTCTTGTCTTCCGAGCGTAGAAATTCTGGCCAATTCCCTGGCAATTTGTTTTCTGGATAAACTATTTGACGCTTTCCAGATCCATGCTTTTTTCTTGTTGAAGATTTGACACTATTTGGTATATATTGATCCCATAAAATATCAAGTCTTTGTACTCTATTAAGTTGATTGGCAGTATACTGTACTTATTAAATGTCGTTTGAGTATTGTAGGAAGGTTCTTGCTTTTTGAGTTTTCAGCAGGTGGACTATTACGGCACCATCAAGAAACAGGGCTTCAACATCTGGTGTATTGATCTCTCTATTTGGAACAAGGTCTTCTACTGGTTTTAAGATATTTGCTTTGAGTCCAGTCTTGATTGTGCCATCTTGTGAAAGGGATGGAGGGAATGTCTGGTTCTCATGTTGGAAAAGTTCATCTAAGTTGACGTCTCTATTCTGGCACGCTATGTATAGTTGTGAAAATAGGGCAGTGTCATTTTTCAAGCTTGCTAGCTTTGAA